CCATGGAGAGGGAGGGCCCGTGGTTGGGTTCCAGCCGTGCTCAGCACAGCCCAGACACCCTCCCAGGACAGGCTCAGCCCAGCTGAGATACAAGGAGACGTCATGGGGTGACAGAGAGCAGAACAGGCAGTGCCAGCACAAAAATCCCCTCTGTATCACAGGCTCTGGGCATGGAGCTGATCAGACCATGCTCTTTCTGTTTCCTCCCAGCAAAGCTGGCAGGCAGGCGTGCAGGTTGAGTCAGAGCTGTGAAACGGGGCGACCCTCTCGTGTCCCTAAGGGGGAACCACTCCAGGGTGGGTTGAATGCAGATCTGCAGAATCTGGGTCACAGCAGAGTGGGACAAATGCCCAGCACTGGTGAGGCTGTACCTGCTGCTCAGCAGGGTCACTGCCAGCTGTGGCTCTGGGCAGGAGGTGGAAGGACCCTGTCCTACACTCGTCCCTCCCCGGTGGAAATCCCACCCAACCCTCAGTCAGCTCAACCCTCATCCACCAACCCTTCCTACTTATTTTGCTGTTTCTGTTGTCCTTCAGTGTTTTTTTCCTGGTGCTGGCACATTTACCCTCTGCTCAGGTTTGGCTCGGCTGCCTTAATGCTGAAGGCACTGATATGGCTATCTGCATATTATTTACAAAACAGCTCATTAAATAGTTTTTATAAATATTAGATGCAGCTACAGAAGAATTTGTGATGATGCCTCTTGACATCTGTTTATTTTACAGGAGATCACAGGGTTTGCTGCTATTCTGCCCGGCCTTGGAAGGAAACATCAGCCTTCTGATGGAACCCAGTCCCAATTAAGACTCAATTAGAGACAGATGAATATTTCATAATGAATAATGTGTACAAAGCAATTCACCTCTTCTCCATGCACAGCTTGCCATTTTCTCAAGTGACTTCTTTATTCAAATTATTCACAGAAAAACAAGTATAAATAATTATTGTTCCACATATTCTTCAATAACTGTTGCCACACACCTTGCAGAGTTAGGTCAGCTGGACTCAAGCAAGTGATAACACTGACATGATTTATAGGTTCAAAAATCATCACTCAGCTTCCCCACATCATCACAGAGATGTGTAAATCTCCAGATAAATAGTTGCTGGATCCTTTTAATTTGCCCTCTTTGTTCTGGCTCCTTGAGGACATTTGAATTTAATTTTCAAGCTTTTCTCTGCAACATCAACGAAAGCTGAAACTTTCATCTAATTACGTCTCCACATCTCCAAGGAAAACACCAAATACCAAGATGCTTAGGATCAAAACAAGAGCAGATGACCTGGAGGTGATCGAGTTTCTTCTCTAAATGGTTCAGCAAAACTCTCCAGTGAACATTTGTACCAAAAATTCATAATTACAGTCTGCTTTGGTATATTTGCTGAAGAAATGCTCAGAATTTGCTCGCTCTGTCTCCCAGTGACACCTCCACTACTTTATCCACTGCAGAGGCACACAAGGAGTGGAAATTTGTCACATGAGTGAGCAAATCCTGCAGATATTTTCTACTTGCTCAGCTTCATCTTCAAGCCTGTCAGCTGGTGATCAAGACTCTCCAAAATTTGTTGTCAGGAGAGATTTTGGTGTTTGTTTTTCGTTTCTAGGCTAGGGGAAAGATCACTTACCCGAGAAGAAAGAGAGCAGCAGCAGGCTGAGAAGCACTAAGGCACCTGTAGCCCTCATGCTGCAGGGAGCTCTTTAGTCCAAGCCAGATCGGAGCAGGAGGTGTTGTCTCAGTCCCTGAGCTCACAGTGTGCACACAGAGCTGCCTTTCTGTGTATTTATGTGCCTGTCATAGCTGTCCTCATTCCCCACCTTAATTGTGAGAACTTCTCCACTTGGTTTCTAAAGCCATTATTGGTCCTGGCCGGTTTATGGTGCTTTAAGGAATGCTGTCCTGTCCACATCAAACCTAGAAAGGGATAATTATATGAGTGATAGACGTGCTTGTAACGTAATTATTTTATTTTTTTTTCTAAATAGTCACAGGATTCTCACAAGGGTGAATTTTCAAAGCGGTGATTCACTGGGGAAGCTGGTAATTTTCATTCTCTGGGCCCTCTCCGAATGCCAGCACCGAGGCTCTGAGTGCAGCGTGATGACACTCACTAGACATTACGAAATAAATCACAGCATGAGAATGTGTTGTCTGTGAAACCAATTATACCTTGTTCCCTGGCTATTTTTGAGGATGGTTCTAAATTTGTGGAGTTGGGGTGGAGAAGCGCTGGGCTGTGACATGCTCTCCTCGCTGTGTGCACAGTCCCAGATAGGACTGCTGACTCTCCTCCCTGAACTATTTAAACTCTAGCTGTCAATGTTTTTCCAGTTTTTCACATTCACAAACATATGTTAGGGCTCTGCTCCCACCCCAAGTGGCAGTGATGGGAATTTGATGGGGAATTGGCAGATCCAAGCTCTATTTCCAGCTGAGGCTGTGCAAGGATTTGTGTTCAGGCAGACCATTTGCCAAACACCTCTCCAGATAAGAATAAGCCTAAATTTTAGTATGTTTCCCTAAGGAGACGAGGCTTAGGAGAGGAATGTGTGTAGATATATCTGGATTTTAATTCCCCCAGTGAATTTTGAATGCACAACTAGTTGCAGCCAAATTTTACACGGGAGTGGAAAAAAAAAAAATCAAAAAAAATATCACACTTTAATACATTTCTCTAGCAAGAGAGGAAAGATGCTACCAGCATCCCCAGCCAGCAAGAGAGTTCCTGCAGGAGAGCAATGCTATGGGTTGTCCTACATCTGGGGAAGCATTTCAGTTTGCAGCTTGCCAGACATCTTAAAATCCTGAGAGTGGCAGAGAAACCGTGACTGACAGGCGAATCCTCAGCTGTCTATTAAGGGTGATCTCACGACGCAGCCTCTCATGTAATTTAGTTATCAAACCCGTCAGCTGCAGCCAGCCACGCTCAGTTCTGCCACTCGCAGCACTCCCTGTTTGCCTTTTCTGCTTTCAGACGTCACCGCTTGCGACCACAGCCTCGATACCTCGGTCCCTTACCTGCCCAAAAAAACGTTTCAGCTGCTGCAGCACAACTGGGCTGGCTCCAGCCTCAGCAAACACACGGCAGGGACCAACCCCTTCCAGGCTGAGCAGAGGAAAAGGTTAAATTACCAACCTGGTGATTATTGTTATTGCCCATTTCCACTTCTTTGTGACACCAAGTCATGACAAAGGTGGGGGATTCCATCCCTCTGACATTCAGGGGTAGAAGAAGGACACCTGGACCTTGTTGTGCAGCCCAAGGGGTGGCTGGGCAGAGCCTTGCTGGTATCAAGCTGAGTCCTAACCTGTGCAGGCCACTTTTTAGACTTAAATGCTGCAAAGCTTTCCATCCTCTGAAGTCCTTGCTAGAGGCTTATGAGGCAGCTGGACACAGCCATATATTCACCATTTGCCCCCCATTTTGCTGCAGGTGAGCAGCTTCTCTTTGGGCTTTTCCAAGGCCTTCACAGCAGGTTTCCTGACTTCCTGGATGTGTTTAAAAAATGACTGGAACTCAGTGCCATAGTCTAGTTGTGGTATTAGGGCATTGGACTTGATGATCTTGGAGGTCTCGTCCAACCTAGACATTCTGTTGTTGTTGTTCCTCAGGCACAAACTGCCTCTGAAGAGGAGGTTCACCATAAGACCTTGCCATCAAAGATAATTTCCTGCTATGGCCAGAACTCCACTAGTCTGTGGCCACTGTGTGAACCTCTTGTCCAACCAGGAATTACAGCTAAACACATCCACTGGCTACTTTTACTGCTCCTTAACTATTTTCTCAGACACACAAGCAGGTGACTAGTGAGGACTCTCCTGACTCTCCAATTTGTCTTTTCTTAGGAGCAGGCACAAAGGTATGATGTGACTTATGTTATCTGTAGTAATGCCAGAAAAAAAACCAAAAGTAAGAATTTTCATTCTTCTTCCTACTCTCTGCACTGGTTCTAGGGAAGGACAAGCCTCTTACATCCTGCTACAAACTTCTTGGTCAAGAAATCATCTACTTCAGAAAACAAGACCAAAAGAAGTATCTTGAAAGTCACAGATTTTGTCCTAAATATCAGCCTTAGCAGCAGGTGTTCTTTTACATAACAAGAGAATGGGAGGTGGAGAAAGGATGAGGAAGGGAGTGTGTGAGCCATGGCACTCGGGACTTTTTTTGCTTGTGCTGTTTGCATACTAACTCCTTGACTCACCCAAAAAGATGGCACATCATCACATACAGTCATATATGTCATTTTTCCTGCAGTGCATGCTTCAGGCTCCCACAAAGATGTTATCTTCACACCTTTTTTCCCCAGATAGAAAACACATTCAAGCTGCCAGCACATCTTCTGGCCCTTCCTTCCCAGACTTAGAAAACCCAAGACCTTTTCCCAAAGGGTCCCCTGGCTCAAATACCACCAGTACAGCTTTTCAGATCTCTTCTCCAAGAAGCTGAAAGCCTAAGCCCAGTCTAATTTCTCTTCAGGTTCTCATTAGGCTCATTACAGCCTTGCATAGCTTGCTGCAATTTTCTGCTGATGGGCACAGTGTCGATGGACACACCCTTCAAGGAAGCAGCAGTTCCTAATTTTCTCTTCCCTATGAGATACCTCCTCCCTTTGCCACAAGCCTCCTTTTTATAAGGCACCACCAGACCTGCCCCTTGCCCAGGTGTGACCAGGTAAAGCTGATCATGTCCCCTTTCACCAGGACCACCCCATCAGGCCAAGGCCCCTAGAAGGAAGAGCTCATCCAGGTTCCAGTGCTGTGACAAAGACAAATCCATTTACACTCTGCAAGACTTCAAAATTAGATTCAAAGCTGTTCTATTTTATAGCATTTTCTGGTGGTTTGCTACAGAATGACATTCTCTCGTGAGGGCTGGAGCTGGTGTTTTGTCTTTATTGTGGTTTATTTCACCACTTCTCCTGCCTGGCAGAAAAGTACCCAAAAGCCTGAAGACCATTATCCCGCCTGGAAAACAAAACCAAAATCAAAAACCATTCCATGGCAAAGATTGTGGCTGCATTTAATTTATTGATCAGTCAAAGCAGAAACTGATGGATAACAGTTGAGGGAGCAAGGAAGAGCATGTTTGATTGAAGAAGTTGAGAGGGAAATGTCATGTTGAAGGGTCCAGCTGCAGCACTTAGCAGCTGCCAAGGTGCCTGGAGAACAGACCTCCAGCGCTGCGGCTGAAGAGAGAGAGGGAGACCAAAATTAGAGACATGGATCTCATTTTTACAGTCCAACTTTACCCAAATAAGCCAAATGCCCTTGTGCTCTCCAAGTCATAAAGTGCTTCACTTAATGTTCCACCTCTTTTCAGATTCCTCAAGTTACACGCTTTCATAGGTTGATGAGATTTGGGACAAACCCCATAATTTTGGACACCTCCTACGGACACACTTTCAATCACCCTGACAGGGAGGCAGTCAGCAATGCTATGAGCCTGCAAGCGGGGATCTGCTTTTAATTGCAAGGGGAGGAGGAGAAGACTCACTCAGGCTTAAGATCTGTGGCGCCTGGGGGGTGGCAGCGGAGTGAGCGTTGGGAGAGGAACATGGGGTAGGGATGGGAACTAACGGGAGCTCTGGGGCTTCCACAGCAGCTGCCCCAGCTGCAGGTGAGCTCCAGCTCCTCTGCTTTCCTGGCCACACGGTGAGCTCTCTACTTACGAAACAGCGTTGCAGAACTTGCACTTGTTTCCGTAGGTTCTGCCGTCGGAGCCACAGATGGGGTTGTACTCGGAGGTGCAGATGAGGCTGCCGCCCTTCTGCTGGTTGCAGTCGATGTTTATGTTTTGCTAATGGAACAAAAACAGGGTTTAAAGCTTTTGCTCCCTAGATTTTCCTACGTAAGTGCTTTATGTTTATTTAATATTTGTAATATGGCAAAGCACAAAAGCACTTTTCAAGAGCAGGGCTCTGTTGTTTCAGCAATTCTGCAGACTCAGAGAATGGGTTTGCCTGGAACAGGCTGAAGTAGGGAGATGGTGGAGGTAAAAAAAAAAATCTAATAAATATTATTATAAATAGTGAATGACCATCCTGGTGTTTCCAGGCTGGCTCTCCCACTGGCTGCTCTGGCTCAGCAGGCAAGAAGAGGCAAGTGGACAGAAAGGGAGTGGTCACAAGCCCCAGTGCACCAAGTTCTCCCACCCAGGGAATCACTGCTACTAATAGAGCTCCTGCATTGATGATGCAGCATCTCTTACTCATCCAGTTTCACAGTAAATGAAGGTCTCAGCACCCTCTGCCTGCTGTTCCCAGGTCAGAGAGGGGACCAAGTATCTCAGCCATGGATTTGGTTCCATCCCTGTTGACCCTGGCATAACTGTTTTCCTCAAGTCCTATTTTCAGGCCAAATGCACCAAGACAGTGGAGGCATTTCTATTATTTAGCCATGAATGTGTGCTGCAAAATGTGACAGCAGTTAAGAGTGCAGGTTTCTGGCTTTACCTGCAGCTGGAAGCACTCTCCATATCTCTTCAGGTTCACTTCCAGGCCGCTCCTTTGGGGGGAAAGCAAGTGGAGAATGAATGAGCACAGTGCAGCTGCTTCATGAGCCAAACTACCCCTTTTTGCTCCAAATGCCAAAAAAATAGATCAGTACTGATCCAGGAGCCCACCCCTGACCCAAGCCCCCACTTACGCCACAGCATTACAGAAGTGACACTTGTTCCTGTAGGTGATGCCGTTGGTGCCGCAGATGGGGCTGTACTCCATGGTGCAGGGAATGTTGAAACCACTGCCAGGCTTCAGGAAACCAGTACAGTCGACCTGAAACAGTCACAGAGCAGCATTTGAATCTCTGCTCCCCTTTGCATCAGCCCTGTGTAATGGAGTGTGGTGCAAGGGACATTTCCCCCTCCTCCCAGAGAAGGTGCAAGATGAAAGGGGCTTCCAGCCACAGCGTGGTGGATTTGGGGGAGCACAGATGAAATCCTGCCCGTGGGTCCAGCATCAGTATCTGTTCTGAGGTGGGCTCCATCCCTGCCATCTTGGGGATTTTCCCCCTGAATGCCACCATGAAGGATCCTTGCCTAAGATACCTCACACAGCAGCAATTTCTGCTGTGAGGTGCCAGTGCCTTTCAAAAATGGAATTTACACTCAACTCACTGCTCCTGCAATTACTCTGAGTGTATTGAAATGGGAGTCATTGTATTATGTGAAATTGCACAGCCAGAATGTTTCTTTACTCTCTCTCTCTCAACTAAAAATAGACATTCTTTGCCACTTTATGGTAGCTCCATATATTGATATTAACTGTAACTTAACTTTGTGATAAATATTCTGATAGAATCCATTTTTTCTGTTACAAAATTATAGTTTAGTTGAAATCCAAACTTCTTCTGGGAATTTCGTAGACACAACAAGCCTCTAAGTCTAAATGTAAAGAGAAGTGTTTTCCTAACACTGAGAGAAACACTCTTGAAATCAAAAGTTTCCTTTCTAAACTCTGCTGCTATACAGAAGATATTTTGCTTTTTAAAACTCACTGATTTTAGCAGTTCAAACAAAATGCAAATTAAATTTCCTGCAGATCTGAAATTCTTCGCTTTCACCCCATTTCTGAGAGCTAGCAATTGTGTGGGTTCACACAAAAAATTTCAAAAATACAGAACGAATCCTAGGCTGGGTTTGTGTCTGGCTATCACCCACCAGGGGAAGGAACAAATCTCTGACCATACCCTAACGCATCTTCCATCGTGTTTCTTGTCAAGAGCAGGGTTGAGGCTAGAGGGAGAGAGGGAGAAGGAAAGCAGGGATTAATCTTTTCATGCCAGGTAGTCATCTCAATCATTAAGTCTCTCCACCCGTAAAGCCCCAGTAATTAATCAGATTCTGGAGCTTTGACATGGAAGATCCCGGGCATTAGGGAAGACCGAAACTTAAGAAAAATCAAGTCCACCCCACGATTAGTCACAACCCCAAGGGTTTCTGCCTGCTGCTTGAGCTGGCACTCTTGGTGACCAGGGGACTTTCTACTCACAGGGAGTCCTTGCAGAGGGCACACTCGTTGGGGTAGGTGCGGCCATTGGTGCCACACACGGGGTCGTAGTCGCGGGGACAGACGCTGCTCATGGTTTTTGAAGACAGCCTGTAGGCACTGCAGGAGGCCTGGGAAAGGGGATTCACAATGTCTCCAAACAGAAAGAAGGGTGTTCTTCCCCTAATCCTGTTTTTGCTGCATTGGGAGGTTATTCTATGGGGAATCTCTATGGCTCTTCCATGGTGGGAAAAAAAAAAGTATCGAGTTTCTTGCAGCTTATGAAAGCACCTCTCTGCTGTTAAGACTTAAAGTAATTTTGGCAAGAATTATGGGCAAAAATGATCATTCCTTGGGGAATCAGGATAGGGAGGATATTTAGGCAGATATTCAATAGTCATATAGATTTTCTGCTGGCACTCTGTGCTGTGCTGACTCGCATTCTACATTATTAATCGCTGTCTTTTTAATCATCAACGTACTAAATTATCTCTCTCTGACAAAGGTGTTTTCTTATGTTGGGAAAAGAGGTGCACTTAGGGGCACTTCTTTCTTATTCATTTTCTCTTTTTTTCTCCCTCAAGCGTTCCCTGGCATATAGTGTGAGTATGAATTATTCATCCAGTCTTAGAAATCAAGAGTAAATGACAAAGATCTAATACTCACCCGTCTTTGAGCAACAGCAAGATCTACAATAAAAACAGAAGTTATAAAATGTAAAAACTGTACAATGTCCTTCATAAAATTCCCTTGGAATCATCAGTTTCCCTACAGAGTAACCAAATACACCTTCTCATTACTGAGAAGTGATTATCCTCCCAAATGTTTTGTCTACTCCAAGTAAATGCAAAGTGATACACCGAGATTAAAAAAAAAAAAAATCACTTATTTACGAAACCAGAAATTTTGACTCGCTAAACAAGAATTAGGACCTAAAGTTTTATCCTTCTTTATAGCACCATAATCCCCACTAAGGCTCAAAAGCTTAAAGCACAGATCCCCTGTGTTTATCTTCACAAGGGTGAAGTTGGTTGAAAAGAGAGGCCGCGTATTCCTAAACCATCGCATCCCCAGGAGGCTGCGCTCTCCTCCAGGGTGAACAGAGACAGGGAAAGGATCAGGAGGTCTAGACCAGCACAGAGAGTAACAAAAGTGACAAAAACGACTTACCAGAAAGGCAGCCGAGAAGGACCAGCCCCAGCAGGGCAGCGCAGTTGGCCATCTTCATGTTGGTGGTGCTGGTGGTAGCGGCTGTTCCGTGTGGGTCGGCTGCCGGAGAGTCCGTGGATGGTTCTCAGCCTTCTCCCTCCCCACTATATATATGCATCTCCCCGACCTTGTGAAGTCGTCAGCAGAAAGTAATTATTTGCTCTGTAAACTAAGAAAATTGTATCGATTACCGAGTTGAGCTCCAAAGAATACTTGTTTGTTAGAGAGATGCCCAGAAGAATTAAACAAAAATATGAGCTACACCCAGCTTGTTAACAAAGGCGCCTTGCTGTACAATGAGTGATTTGTACTTTCCAAACAGGAGCACTGTCTCAATAGTGGATGTTGTGAAATGGCATATGGAAGTTGGGGAAGGGAAAAAAGAGCCCATTTGTTGGAAGTGTTTGATTTGTGCTCACCGTATCACATATGCTAGACAGGAACTGGGCTCTGGGAGATGTTTGTGGTACAGCTGAGTGTGGTGACAGGAGCATGGGACATCCTATGCTCTCACTGACATGATATCTGGGGTTGGCAAGCATCACTTTAATGCACTTTAAAGATGCTGAAGCCTCAGTGAATCTCTCCACAGTCTCTCCTGTAATTTCTTGGTACACTGGATTCCTCACCGACAGAAAGACATCACAAGAGAAAATCATTACAAAAAAACCCCCAGAAGTTTATTAGACATTTCTGTGTAGGAGTAAGAGTTATTCATCTGTTGGCAAGGAATACGAGTCTGATTAAGAAATTATAAGAATAAGTAATCCTAAATCTGTACTGGGATAATGGTTCCTATTAATGGCAAGCAACTGGTATTCTGTGCAGGTGAAATGGGCTTGTTAATACCAAAGGCATTCCAGAAAAAATTCCAGTAGCTGCAAACAGAAGGAGAGCCGTTAGGCTTCCCCCTTCTCCCTCAATTATATGGCATTAAATTTAGACTGCCAGCTGAAAGTCGTGTTTTAGGGAAGATAAGTGATAAATAATGTGCTAGGCTCTGCTAAGTGGCTCGACTCTATCACAAGTGTATGGAAAAACAAATAAGGGATATTGCATAAAATAATAAATTTTTGATTTAAGGTAGTCACGGAAGGAAGTGACGGATGGAACTTGTTTGTGCTTCAGAAGAAGCTTGTTTCATACATGTGGCTTAAAGGCAGCCTGAGTTTTAAATAGAAAATCAGAATTGGTTTTCTTATTATCCTGGGAGATGTTCAACACTTGGCATGAGAAGATAAATCATTAAAATGTAGCTGAAAGTGTAAGAGAACTGTAGTCACAGAATGGAGCTTGTGGGATTTGGCCTGTTTATATCAATGAAATAATTTTCCTGAAAAATAAATGAATAATGCTATTTGGATCTCTTTCACAAATATCACAAGTTGAAGGGCTCCTTTGAAAGTTGTTTCTGTCGCATTCTTAGCATCCTGAGTGAGTTGACTTTCAGATTCCTTGAAGTGATTGTGAGCATATTTGGAAAGGAAGCGGTAGTCACGGAAGCATTAATATTGATTAATCTCCAGGGGCAGGAATGCCAAAGTCTGAAAACAAAGCTTCCTCAGAACTTGCAGCAGCCACTGGTGGAGGTGCTGCTTTCCAGCCCTGTGGCTGGGGAGGGCTCCAGGAGCAGAGTCCATCTCCTCTTCAGCCCTGCGACCCCAACTCCCCCATAGCCACCTCCAGAAATGAGATCCCCATTAGCAGAAACTCTGCTGCTTCTCCTGTTGTGTTTGCTGCCAGGCTGAAGGCAGCAGGAGCTGTTGTGCCTGGCAGGTGTCTGCCAGGGAGCGGCATCGCTCTCATGTTGAGCCAACACCTGCCCTTTCATTAGTTAGATCCGCTGGGAGATCCTCTCTGCCCCACCTGATGCCCCTGAGGGTCTTTGTGGCCACCCAGGATTGCTCCAAAAGCATCTCTTCTCCTCCAGCAGCCCCTGCCACTTCCCAGGGCAGCAGGGGGGAAAAGAGAAACGAGGAAAGAGCCTTGCTAGGGGGTCTGGGAGAAGGGATGGGAGACAAAGGGCAGTGCCCAGGGCAGGGCAGGAGAGCTGCTGGGACAGGTGTGACAGGGGATTGCACAAGGAGCCCCATTAATAGGAAACAGAGGGAATGGGGCAGCAGCAATCACAGGAAAGCAGATGGACTGAAAACAGGCATTAGGAGCAGTGAAAAACAACAGTTCCCATGTCAGTGAGCCTTGGGAAATGTCATACACCTGTTGCAAATGGGAGAGCAAAGTGAAGCCAGCTGCCCAAAGCCCTCTGGGATGTGTGTGGTGGTGTCAGACTTCCCTGTGGTGCCCAGCGACAGGACAACAAGCAGTGGCCATAAACTAAAATACAGCAAGTTCCACCTCAGCATGAGGAGAAACTTTCCATTGAGAGTTGCAGAGCACTGGAACAGCTGCCCAGGGAGGTTGTGGAGTGTTCCTGTCTGGGGTCATTCCAAACCCGCTTGGCCATGTTCCTGTGTCACCTGCTCCAGGTGTCCCTGCTTTGGCAGGGGTTTGGACTGGATGATCTCCAGAGATCACTTCCAACCCAAGTTATCCTGTGATTCTGAGGTTCAGAAACATCATGATGGAGGGCTCAGTAAAGTGACTTTGGGATTATTTCAGTATTTCTACAGATATGAGATCCATATAAAAGCTTAAATAAAACTCTTAAATGAAATGCTTCCTTCTATTTCAGACTTCTAGAGGGCAAACATTCAGGAAGGTTTTGGCAACATGAATGGGATAAATGTTGGCCATCAAACAATGGGTCCTCTAGTATAAAAGTAAATTTCCAATAACTCTGGAAATTCTACCCAGTTTCTAATCCAGCAGTATTTTTTCCCATAGCAGTGATAATTTCCTGGGAAGCTTTTCCTCTGCTCCTGAGGCTTCCTACCTCAAGTAAGCCCATAGCCTACCACAACCTAAAAAAATCCTTCACTGATGCAAATCTTGCCATAGGCTTCATCTGGCTACAAAGAGCAGCAACGGGGGATTTTTTTATTATTATTAAATGAGAGGGTGGATGCGTGCACGCAGGATTTGTTGTCGTGCCAGCAGCAGTGTCATTGTCCCTGCTGTCACGGGATTTTGGAGGACAAATGGGTTATTTCTCTGCAGTTCCCCAGGGATGAGGAACAACTGCAGGAGCTCCTGGCCAAGCTGCTGTTCCCAGACCTCTGCACACGGGGGCAGAGCTGGATCTTCTATGAGAACAAAAATTCAATTTACAGCCGGCAAAGCCCCTGCTCTAAGCCGCACTCACCTATTATTTCTCCTTGTAGTTCAGCTATCTGATTGCTGCCTGAATATCTCCAGTCTTTTAAGCATAGATGATATCGCAGGCAAGGGTGTCTGGAATAATCTGACTGTCTGGAAGCTGCATGCTAACAGCACAAGGCTGAGGATCCCAATCTCAGCTCTGCCTCACTGCAATAGCTCTGACACAGCCAGCCCCAAAAACACCTGCAATTAATTGAATTTTCGAATATAATTTTATTTTGCTTCACATCAAAAAAGATGCAGTAAGAAACAATTTCTCTTGAATGAAGCCATAGAGAGAAACTGCATTAACAAAAAGGTCTAGACTGGCCTGAGGTATATTTTGGCCAGCAACAAGTAGAACAATGCACAAAAATAGAAGGAACAATAAAAAATAAAATAGAACAAAATAAGTACATGCAATGTGTTAATCAGGTTGTGGGGTAATTGAATGGCATTTCCTGAATCCAAAACATCAGATAATGACATAAAGTGCTGAGGTACTGCTCAAAGAATTGTACCATAAAATACCTTGGCAGGCAGACAATGTTTCCTGCCTTGAATTTCCTGGAGGGAGAGTTAGATTAGTAATGGTGAGAGGATTTGTGCTGTTGTGGCAGGATTTTATTGAGAAGCAATAAAAAAAATTATTTCCAATGAGGTGCTCATAAAAGAGAATTCTCTTCCTCTCCATCCTAAGGAGCATCCAGGACCAGCTGCTGGGGCGGGAGGCCGGGGGTTCCACTGGGGTCCTGCTCTGCCCTCGGTCACTCCTGAGCAATCCTCACTCTGCATCACTGAGGATTTATCATTTCTGCTCACAGTTTCCTCTTAATTGCCTGCTGGATTTTCCTGTTTAGCAGGCATGCCCCTGCAAGAGGCCCTCTGAGCATCACGGGGATCTCCAGCACAATCGGGAGCTCTGCTCATCTCCAAGGCATCGTGGTTCCTGCGCGCCATCCTCATCCTCTCTGCTGCTGCCTAAGAAATAAAATAACTCCTGGAGCTGCTGCTCTCTTACCCTGACTCCCACGCTCAGCAGAGGGGGAGAAGGAGGAGACAATGTGCCCCACACCCCCAGCATTACCTCCCAGAGCCTCAATTTATCCTGGTCCCCAGAAATTGCATCTGACTCTGAAAAGCTTTCCCGCACACAGACCTCCTCTCACAGGAGGGACATGCCAGCCCCAGGAAGGGACTTGGCACTAAATGGTTGCAGAGAGTCATGTCTTTTGGAAATAAATTGTCTCCTTTTAGAGAGCTGCTCTCTGCAGTCTCTGGGAAGTGACACATTGTCACTTAAGATCATTAACTATTTGACTGTGAGACTGCTGCCTCTACAGCACGCGGCACTGGCAGCGCCTCGCTGTTAATGAATAATAAATTAACACTATGACTCTGAGCCCTTCCTTTCATCAGCCGAGATTTCCAGAGGCCGGAGAATCTCAAAGGATCCTCTACAAGCGACAGTCAAGGTAATTACCTTCAGCCAGGAGCTAAGTGATGGGTGAGGTGCCCAGCCGGGCTGCGGTGACTGCCAGCATCCCCCGGACATCAGCTCTGCTAGCACTGGGGTTCTGCAATGCCCCTCAGCAGTGAACCAACATGGGCACACAGGAGTCTGCCTGCCCAGAGAAAACACCCTGACATTGCTCTGGGGAGCTAAGCAGATTGCAGAAGGCCTTCTCTCACCTAGAGATGTTTTTTTTCAACCCTGCATGCGAGGTGGAGGCAGCTCGGAATGTGACCTTCTCCACATATTCTTTAGTAGTGTAAGAAATTTGGGATAACCCTGGAAACTGAAACAGGGATGAGCAGCTCATTGTGCCAGCAAGACCCCTTCTGTGTGGCAGAAGAGTGGCAGAACACCCCAATTACAGCAATCTTGGGGCTGTCTCTAATTTTGTTAACATTTAGGTTTGCCCAGCATCCCTTTGCTCTGCCAGGCTCCAAAGAGTGAGGCTGGGTGAGGTGCAGGTGTCTGCCAGCAGCACAGAGAGGGAGGCAGCTCCTCTCACCCAGGCAGAGTCATTGTCTGACATCCCCCCAGAGCAGCAGAAGGACAGGGGCACCAGGATGCATCTCCTGCTTTTCTTTAGGAAATCCAGATGGAGGTGGATGCCCACAAAAGTTGCCCATTGCCTTTGGGGTTGGGGTTGATATTTTTGTAGATCAGAACAGAGATCTCCCTCTCCCTGAAATTTTCCCATTAACTCCCACACCCCAGGGCTGTAGCAGTGCTATAACCATGCAACATGTTAGGTAAAACCAGAATGAGACAAAAGCAAGGCATAAATGCTAGGTCTTTTTTTTTTATTAGCAGGGGTTTCAGGATTGATAAGAGGTTTTCAAGGGTCAGGTCAAGGGTTTAGGAAGTCATCTGCCATGGGGAACATCACCAGCTTTCTCAGCTGAATTCCATCGAGAACTTAACAGGCATTAAGAGATCTCAAACCAAGATCTCCACGGCTTCTCCTGCAGAGAAAGAAATTGGTACCTCAGAGACAGAACATCCGGGTTTTCACTGTTGGTCTGTCCCTCTACACCACAGAGGGACTTCTGAGCTCTATTACACATATTTTCTTTTATTACTGACATATAAAGACAAGAAAAATTCTTAATTTAAAAGACCAAATAGTCTGTAGGAAACAGACTTCATTTGCTGAGATAAAGCTCTTTTGCAAATCACTTAAGAGGAAAATGGAGAACACTATGTTCTCTCTTTATATCTGAAAGAAAGGAGTTCCCAGCAAACCCTCCCAATAAAAAAAAAGAAATTAGCCTTGCTGGTGAGAGAACAAACAAACAAAAGGACTTTACTTTTTCAGCCAGTCTCCATGACTGATTAGGCATTTTAAGCTAATTCACCACTTGGTAGGTGAAGAGATTGGTTCTGTACGTACAGGTATGCATTGCAGAACATGCATTTGTTGGGGTAGGTGACACCATCAGAGCCGCAGTGGGGCATATACTCCATGGAACACATATTCCTCAGAGTCCTCTGGTTCCTGCAGTAGATGGGTGCAGCCTGTATTCCCAAAAAAAAAAAAAAAATAGCTCTCAACCAAATCTGGGTGAGAAAAGTGATATTAGGAGCACCCACAGAGCCCTTGAGCCCTTACTGCCCAGGAGCAGAAGCTGAGGAAAAGCCCAGGGACAGGGCAGGATGCAGTGGAGTGCTGCCTCCAGCCATGCAGAGCCTGTGTAACCACTGTAAATGATGCTGCAGTAACTTTTGACAACAACTTGGACATGAACTGAATACTGCCCTACTTGTTGAAACCGTCACCGGATGAAAATGGCAATTTCACCCGATAATATCTGTGGCAAAGATTGCTCAGGCAGCTGGGTGTCTCAGGATTTTGAAAGGCTCCATCATGATGTGATTAGTAAAGATTTATACAGAAACTGCTTTAAGGAAAGAAAAGATGGAGAATAGAAAAATCCATCCCTTACCTGCAGCGCATCAGTAGCTGGAACTAAAAAAAAAAAAAAAGAAGAAGAAAAAATGAAATATGTTACAAATGCAATTCATGGATTCTGTTAAAATCTGAGAATGCACACCCTGAATACATATCTTCCAACTCCCTGTGTGTTAGCAAATTATTCTTAGACAAAAGGAATTTCAGGCAAAATGTTGTGCCATACTGTATGTTGGTTCTGTAGCATTTTTTTTTTAATGAGGGTTACAGTCAAAATGGAAAAAAGCATGTAAAATAAGAGAAAGACATTTTCCATGCTTCAAAGGATGGAGCAGGACATGAACTCAAAGCAAAGCAAATTATTGAGGTAAACAGGGACATAAAGCTGACAAGTACACAGAGGCTTATTCTTAAATAAGAATAGCATTTTGTGAGAGGCGAATTTCTAAAGCTTCTAGAGCAGTTCAGGCTCTCAAACTGCACCTCGGTTCAGGATGAGTGCAGGAAATGTTCACTTTCATTCAGTAAAATTATTTGTGTTCCTGCAACATTTCAGAGGTTAAATAGTGGTTGTCTGAGTCTCCGGGTTGCACCACGTACATGTCACTTCTTTCATTATGCATAAACTAGCACTGAGAGTAGAGCTGTTCCCACAGTTGTTCTTACCCACTCAGTTCTGTTGCTAAAATATTACCCCATAAGTGATAGTCTCTGATGTCAAGTCTTTTCAACACTATCTTTCTAGGAGTAAATAAGTCCTTGCAGAATGGAGCTCTTTCCAGTCTGAGGATGTTTTTTTGTGGTTTTGAAGACAACCAGCGCTTATTCCAAGGCAGAGCAGGAGGCAGTGGAGCCTCACTCACCTGAGATGCAGAACAGGGCCAGAGAGAGCAGCAGCAGCAGCCCTGTGGTCTTCATGGTGGCTGGATCAGCTGTGAGCAGCAGAGCTTGGCTTTTGCTCAGGAAACACAGCCTGGATTCTGTCCTCAGGTGGCAACCACGCTTATATGTACGCCTGCAGCACTGGGGGGGGTGTGTGTGTTTGTGCACGTTCATATTTGCCTTATCCACCCTTATCCTGCAGCAACATTTCCAGCCTTTTGTCTCAGTGGCAATCTCCACAGAGGTAAGCCGTGCTGTGAGCCAAGAATTGATGTTTCTTCATCAACGGGAGTCACGAGAAGTTTAGAGGTGTGAGATACACCCTCTGAATCGTTATTTTAAGTGAAATATGTGACAGGTTCCTTCTGAAGGACCACAGAAAACTCCTGCAGGCAAAAGAGTGACTGTATAAACTGCTGACAGATTTTCTCTGTGTTCACCTATCAGTGCCTTTTTTTTGGTGCTTTTTCATAAGAAAAACACTGAATTAAATGCTTCCATAGCAGAAAGGCTTTCCTTTTATTTTTGTGCTTCACCCAAGTAAAACATCACTAAGTTATAGTGAAAGCAGGAAAAACAGTGAACCAGGAAGGCAAGCAAGAGGGCGTCCCAGACATGGAATAAGTCCTGGGAAATGGCAAGGGATGGAGAAACTTCTATGGGATTATGAAAAAAAAAAAAAATTTACAATTGTTATTTCCCCTAAAAGCCATTAGCTTTGCAGTAATAGACTTTTAGTATGATGATGACAGAATGATTTGAGACCCTAGCATGGATCCTAGAAAAGTTGAGCCCAATCTGGAAATCACTGCTTCATCCATCTGCCCATCTCTATATAAATCCTTTGTTTTACCACCAGAGCATTGCTTTCTGGGACAACCTCCATCAGGGAGAACAAGCTCCCCTCTCCCTTTAATTCCCTGAAGAAATGCATGTGGGAGATATTACATTTTAGAAGGGATAAACCAAATTTATTTATGCCTCTCTTGTGTGGATCAAAAATAAAAAAAAAAACAACCCAATTCAATACTCAAACAGAAGACAAAAGCAAAATAAATTTCATGCACAATACGTCAATGACAGGTCACACTCTCAAGAAACAGAAGGATACTTTGTCCTTGGATTTTGAAACACTGGTGAAATACTCCTTGGGCTGGAAAAGAGCATTGTGTAATTGAAGACTGAGAGAAGACAAGTAGGCAGGAGTAGGCACCACACCTAGGAAGGCATTCATCTTAAAAGAGTTGAAGGGATGAAAAGGACGACTTCAAGATGAGAAAAATCTGGTAATAAGTCACTTGGAGGACTTAGACAAATAGACAGGGACAATGCACATGCCTGAGAAATGTGGGCTTTGCCAGCAGAGTGCCCTTGAGAGAGCAACACTTCAGGTGAGGGCAGAGCCAGGGATGAGCCCTGGGCAGTGACACCAAGGTGTGACCGAGTTTTGCTGACAAGGAAAATGCACCAGGAATACCTCAGGAAGGACCCTCCTGTGCCACCACTCCTTTGCAGTGTCAGACATCTGAAGGGTCACTCATGCAGTGGCACTGTCATTTATGTGCCAAGACACACAGCTCTGGGGTTTGAGCATCTGTATTTAATTTTCTGCCTTTTATGAGAGGGAGGGGAGCAAGACATTGCTCTTGTTCTATCCCAGAGCTTTGAGCACGTAACCTATTCTGCCTGGTATCATCATTTAACAAATCAAGAAAACGTTTTGTGAGACAACAGATGAAAGGAGACAAGGAAATGTTGCTGATTTAGTTTATTGAGGAAGAAAATCAGGAGTGAGCTGAGTTCCCCAGAGGGTGAGATGAACTGAGGTGAGATCTTCAGCTGGGATTTGCCAGTGGGGATCCTGTGGTGAATTCTCTCGGCACTGATACTCAGCATTTTCCAAAATGGCTTAAAGTGATAGTCCCATTGCTGTCCCTGAAAGCAAGGAGAGGAAAGAATGAATGAAACACAGAGCCCTGCCTGCTATAATCTGTCTTTCTGATGGCTCCTAGAGATGGTGTCAAACGGGATCCTGCCCCAGAGCCAAGGAACGTGCAGACTCATAATCCCATTTGCTATTTGATTATTAAGAGATGAGTGAAACAATTTAACCCATTTTTAAGACTGAAAATATCTGTGGGGAAACTACAGTGGAATTTCAAAAGGAAAGGAATTTCATTTCCTTTGCAACATGCAAGAAAAATTCCATTAAAGTTAAATGGTCTTCGAACCATTCACACTAACAAAGCAGCCGTAGCTTTTTTTATGCTCTAATGAAAAAAGTAAATGAATGCTTGACACGGTGGCTGGCATTCCCTCTTGCCCCAAATCCCTAATCAACAGTCCCCAGCAAACATAAAAGCAGTAATTGTGCAAACTTGTGCCCACAGGAGGCAACTGATAACAGGAATGTCCCTCATGTTTGTACGTACACGACTGCATTGCAGAAGTTACACTTATTGTTGTATGTTGTGTTGTCAGAGCCACAGACAGGCATGTAGTCAAGTGAGCAGACAGGTTTGGGGTATTCCCTGCAGTCAACCTGAAAAAAAATAAATAAAAATTAAAGAGTCTGATGTAAAGGAGTCACTAGCACAAGGACCCTGAGCTAGAGCTGCAGCGCTAACGATACCAATCTTACCAAAAGTAATTAACTTCCTTGCACATCTGATATAAACTGAGGTGTCAGTTTCTCCTATGCCAGGAGAATTTAATAATATAAAAATAGATCATAATTTCCTGTTTGAAGAGATGTATATCATAACCTGGTCATGGCATTTCCAAGCAGCAGCTCACTCAGTGAAGGTGCCGTGCTCTGTGTTCCCAAGCTGGCCAGGAAATTAAATGGAAAAACACTGGTGTCTGGAGAAATGGAGTGCTGATCCTCCATAAAGGTCTATTATCCCTCCTGGAGTCTTTAAACTGGAAGATTAGCACGTAGCTGGGTACTGCAAGAGTGGGATTCTGTTTCCTGGAGCAATGGGTGCTGCACTTGCTGAGGAGCGTTGTAGGGCTAAGAATGTGTCTGGGTGCAGGAGGAGGCTGAGGAGGAGCAGAACCCTGTCAAGGCTTGCTGACTGCACAGAAATCACATCTAGCTGAGGTTCTACACCTGAAAACAGCTGAGGTTGGAGGGGCAGAAGTCACTCCTCTCTACATTCTGTACTCTCACTCTGTCCTACACACTGCTCACAGCTCCTGCCAGCAGCAGGCTCTGCACCAAGTCACCCTGAGCAAGATGGACCATTGGTCTGACCCCAAAAGCTATTCTCTGTTCTCATTCACAGTTCTGCCCTGGTGGATTATTTCTACTTCTCTTTTACTCATTCCTTCCCAAGCAGTCACCTGCTCCTTTCCTGGCATTCACATAAATGATGTTTATTACGTGTAGAGAAAGCAAAACCTCTCCCATTCTGCAGCACAGCAGCTGTTTCACTTCTGCAGGACTCTGCTGGTCTGGGGGCTGCTGCAGACACTGGCAGTGCAGCAGCAGGCCCAGAACCCAGCCCCTGATTACTCAATTCACTTACTGTGACAATTTCCTTCTTACATTCACCGTCATTCTTCTTGCCAACACTGCTTCCAGCCTCTCTGGGAAGGGAAGAGACCTGCATTAGGGAGCTCCAGAAGCAACCTGTTCTGCTGAACCCCCTCACCCAGGAATGCTGAGCAGCCTCAGGCACAGGAGGGGATACAGGAGACATCCAGCTAAGGTTGTGTCCATGTGGCTCCAGGGACCAGCTCGGGTGGTGCCTGCCAGAGAGCTGGGTTACAGCAAGGAGTGAGGGTGGCTGAGGAGACAGGCTGTGTGACAATGTCAGTGTCACACAGGTTAGCTGCTGTCCTCTGCAAGGCAGCATCTGCCACACAGACCCTTTTAACTTAGTTAAGGGAAGCATCCTGTCCTGTGTGAGAGCCCCACCCAGCCCTCCTCTTCTCTGTCTAGACCAAGGGCACAGCCTTCCTTCTAATCACAGAGGAAAAGAAGGTTTAGTCAGGAGGAAAAGAGGAGGGTCAAGGCCCAAGCCCCTCACAGAAAAGGCCTTGGTAGCAGTTCCAGGAGCACTCACACCTGGCCCCTGTGCTCAGTACTCACAGGCTGCGGGCACAGAGCAGGCACTCGTTGTCGTAGGTGACCCAGTCGGTCCCGCAGACGGGGCTGACGTCTTTGCTACACAGCAGCACCGCTTTGCCCTCCTCACTGGTTGTGTTGGGGTACCTGCTGCAATCCACCTGGCGAGGGAGCAAACAAAACCCTGCTGAAGGCCTTGCTTACAGCACACAAGCAGATCTGCTGAGTGCCTCTGCCTGGCCACACAGGACAGCACCACAGCGGGAGAACAGCTTTTGTGGGAGTCAGTGATCACAGTTCACTTGGAGGTGACCGGTGCAAGATACTGACAGCTCATCTGTACTCTTGTTTAGGGTTTGAATTATTTCAATAAGCACTTTTGGCTACTCAGAAGCAGGACACACCCCTTGTTCTGCCCCTGGTTTTACTTACAGGAGCTTCTTCCTTGCATTCTCCATCGTGGTCTTTGCTGACATTGGTTCCATATTCTCTGCAGAGGGAAAGATAAATGTTAGGAAGTTCAGGGGAGGTATCTTGCTACTTCCTAGGTTCTAGAATTAGTACGAGGGAGAACTGATTCTTTCTCAGTCAGGCTTTTTTATATCTATATTTGAGAAGGTAATTCCACCCTCCCTAACCAGCTGAGTAGCTGGCAGGGATGTAAAACCCTGGGAAGCTTTAGGACCATTTTGGGCAGCTCTGAGCAGAGCATCCTTTTGCTGTGATGAGATGTGCTCTTAGAGCCATCACCTGGCTGCTCCTTGAGACAGAGAGGAAAAAACCTGAATAAATTACACAAGCAAAAGAAAGACATGGTGACTAAAGCTCTGCCTGAGTGCTGTGCTGTGATACTCAAGCTCTTTCTGAAGGAATTGACACAGGTGACGTGTGACAGAGCACTGATTGTTGAGCAGTGGTGCTGCCAGGAGCTGTGAGCTGTGCTGCCTGAGGTCCCCAGGCTGTCCCCAGGCTGTCCCCACGCTGTCCCCAGGCTGTCCCCACGCTGTCCCCAGCAGTACATACACGTTGTAGGCACAGAGCAGGCACTCGTGGCTGTAGGTGACGCTGTCAGAACCGCAGATGGGGCTGACGGCGTCGCTGCAGACCGGCACCTCCTTGCCCTCCTCGTTTGTGGTGTTGGGGTATGTACTGCAGTCCACCTGCCAGAGCAATCACAGCAGCAGGCTGAGAATACCCACAACTCTCGTTTTGTGTGGGACACTGA